AACAACATTATTTTGTCGTTATGCCGATGGAGATTCACTTTGGACCATTGTGATTTGATGGGGGGTGACTCGGCAGATTGACAGCTTTCTCAAAGTAACAACATGCTAGCATTACACTGAGCTAGATTCCTATGTTATCTTTTGTGCACCAAATAACGTATGGGATAACACACACCTGACCATATTCTTCACTGGACTGTGGCGTGAAATAATAAAATCTTATCACCAACAAAGTGTACGTAGCGATAAAATTGTATGAAACTCTTAAAAATTAAGAAAATAGTTTTATTTTTGTCATTAGAGAAGGTAAGCCCTTGAGTTGACACAGCAGGTTGCTCGAGATAAACGAATCATTTGTTTGTCTGAATGCCTCTGCGGAAGAAATGTGTAAACTCGAGGACTTACGTTCTCGAGCAAAATATATAAAATACCTCCTAAACTATGCCTAATAATAAACCTCGATCCTTTGCTTTAATGAAGTTACCCAATTTTCAAACCCAGGGATTTGAGCAGTGAGAGAAGAATACACAGGTCTATCGTCTAATTTAAATTTAATTTTGTTCCTAGTTCAATTTATTTTAAGTTTTAGAACCATTTCCTCTTGAATTCGCTGAGTGTTTTAAAATAAATATAATGTCCTAGAGTCTCAAATTGTGCATATGTAGAAATTATTTAATTATTCAATATATTGCAGAACTTATACCATAAATATGCTCTTTACGTTATTATATTGAATTCTCTATAACACTAAACGTCTTTGGCTACATAATATTGGCAAATCACAAAACCGGTAGTCTATTAAAGGTTTTGCCGTTTTAAATTATTCTAGCTAAAATCTCTCATGTTGAGACTTCACTATTGGTGTGACAAATTTCTGCCATATGTATGATAGGTGAATGTATTTATTTTATTGTATGTGTGTTGAAGAAGAGATGAAGAATATTTATCTCAAAACATTACATATCCGCACATGTATTCACTTGCACCATTTGCTATTCTCAGAACATATAAGGGAAACAAAAGAGAGATCAGAAGACGGATATTATTTTTCGAAGACACAAAGTCCCTAGACTTGACACAAGATTTCCCCTTCACTTTTATAGGACTCCAGACAGCAGCTTCCAAATTAGCCTTAATCACTACTACTCATTGATAATACGATATGTTGTAGAGTGTTCAGAAATAGCTGGGAGTACTTTAATGAAGTGGGATTTATGGATTCTGAAGGACGGGTTCTATATTCGACTGAGTGTTGTGCTAGTAAACTGGTCACGTCACAGTCATCCAAATACTGGTTGAGACGTTTCCTGATTGCTGTTTGCTCCTCGTATATTTGCACCATTTTCTGTACTTTAAATCTTTCTCTGCTGTGAACGCGCTAGCACATGTCATTAACCATCACAGTTACCATAGAGGTAGACTTTCCACAGAAGCTGTCATTGTTTTTACCACAGTTTAACTAATGACATTGTTTTTATCACAGTTTAGCTACCAAATAGAAGCTTGTGTATCCAAAAGGTTCATAATCACGGTTATTCATAACTAAGTAAAAACGTTCATTACCCCCGACACCCTCAAATGCAGTTACTATTCAATACTGATTAAAACAGGAGAATAAACGCCATCAAGCGCCAGCACGACAACTAAGTGATGCTTGCGTTCAATATTACGGCAAAATCGCGATATCAGCAGCCGAAGGATAAAAGAAAATATTAGAAAAATAATAACCAAAGACATTTAATTTATATTAAAAAGGGGCGTACCTTGATCTGTGAAAGAAAAAAAAACAATTTTTGTTCAATTCACAGAACCAGGTTCCCTCTTTTTATATAAATATTTTTAATGGACCGCCTTCAAACTCAATGACATTTAAATAAATTATTAAACCCACAACATTTTCACAAATCCCCACCCACAATATTTCGTCCTGTGCGATGAGAAAATGCTGGAAATTGTTTTATTAGAAGAAAAAACGTTTTGAGCAGTTTTTTATTCTAAATAAATAGCAAGGATTGAACAAAAGGTGGATGTTTTATAATTAACGGGTAAATTGAATTTCGAAAAAAACGTTCTACTATTCAGATAAACCCGCATTTAAGAATATAAAATAAACACCTTTTCTAGGCTCAAGCATTTTTTCTGTATTGAAATCCCGATTACAGGAGTATTTCCATCGTTCTATGTATAGATCGAAAGTAAAAGATACGCAGTGAAGAAAGTAAAAACACCGCTAATTCTAAATTTACCCCTGGATGGTCGTAGAGGTATTTTAAAAGGTCTTGACCAGTTGACCCCGCTACGGGATGTGATCACACCAAACACTTTGGGGACAAAAACCTACCCTTCTTTGTTCTGTCCTTTGGAAAGAAGTATTGGACACTTTCGTCTGAAAAATGGCCTTGTAGTTATTCTATTTTTGTGATTTCTAATTCCCAAGTGAATTTAAATGTATATAAACCTACGGTTTCATTTCTGTATAAGTTATGACTTTATTGAATATTGCTGTTCTCTTTAGGCATAGATCAAAATAGAAGATAACCAAATTTACCTAAGGCAATAGTCTCCTTTTATATAACGTAACCTACTAAAGTTAGCTTAGAGATCAAGACTTTTTTTCAAACGTTCTTTTACTATATCTTGTGGTCTGGAGGTAACCTCCCCAATGACATCTTGTAGCCTGGAGGTAACCTCCCCAATGACATCTTGTAGCCTGAAGGTAACCTCCCCATGACATCTTGTAGCCTGAAGGTAACCTCCCCAATGACATATTGTAGCCTGAAGGTAACCTCCCCAATGACATCTTGTAGCCTGAAGGTAACCTCCCCAATGACATCTTGTAGTCTGGAGGTAACCTCCCCAATGACATCTTGTAGCCTGAAGGTAACCTCCCCAATGACATCTTGTAGTCTGGAGGTAACCTCCCCAATGACATCTTGTAGCCTGAAGGTAACCTCCCCAATGACATCTTGTAGTCTGGAGGTAACCTCCCCAATGACATCTTGTAGCCTGAAGGTAACCTCCCCAATGACATCTTGTAGCCTGAAGGTAACCTCCCCAATGACATCTTGTAGTCTGGAGGTAACCTCCCCAATGACATCTTGTAGCCTGAAGGTAACCTCCCCAATGACATCTTGTAGTCTGGAGGTAACCTCCCCAATGACATCTTGTAGCCTGAAGGTAACCTCCCCAATGACATCTTGTAGCCTGAAGGTAACCTCCCCAATGACATCTTGTAGCCTGAAGGTAACCTCCCCATGACATCTTGTAGCCTGAAGGTAACCTCCCCAATGACATCTTGTAGTCTGGAGGTAACCTCCCCAATGACATCTTGTAGTCTGGAGGTAACCTCCCCAATGACATCTTGTAGCCTGAAGGTAACCTCCCCAATGACATCTTGTAGTCTGGAGGTAACCTCCCCAATGACATCTTGTAGTCTGGAGGTAACCTCCCCAATGACATCTTGTAGCCTGAAGGTAACCTCCCCAATGACATCTTGTAGTCTGGAGGTAACCTCCCCAATGACATCTTGTAGCCTGAAGGTAACCTCCCCAATGACATCTTGTAGCCTGGAGGTAACCTCCCCAATGACATCTTGTAGCCTGAAGGTAACCTCCCCAATGACATCTTGTAGCCTGGAGGTAACCTCCCCAATGACATCTTGTAGTCTGAAGGTAACCTCCCCAATGACATCTTGTAGTCTGGAGGTAACCTCCCCAATGACATCTTGTAGCCTGGAGGTAACCTCCCCAATGACATCTTGTAGTCTGGAGGTAACCTCCCCAATGACATCTTGTAGCCTGGAGGTAACCTCCCCAATGACATCTTGTAGCCTGGAGGTAACCTCCCCAATGACATCTTGTAGCCTGGAGGTAACCTCCCCAATGGCATCTTGTAGTGGGATAACAAATCTCGTGGTAATTATAGATTCACCCGCGTTTATCAATTTTATTGTCTCCTGGAACAATTCCATTGTCTTCTAATCACATTTGTCTCCGAGTGTGACTTTACATGGCTAATATTACCTTGACGTTATCTTTCTTTGTGTTTACTGAATCACCTCTTCAATACTCACAGAATTAATACATTACTCCTCTCTATAAGTAACTCTCTGAGCAAGAGAGAGAGATATTTCATCAACGGAATTATATACAATCTAAATATTATATACACCTTTTAAAACTAATGTGTGGGCATCTACTTTATTCAAAACAAAAGGTACTCTGAGAACGATCATTCTAGATACAAATATACCTCTCTCTCTCTATAAAATTTATTCCAATCAAAATGAAAATTTAGAGAGCACTTTGAGCTGCTAGACTTTGCACGGGGCCACCAAGTTTAGTTATTCGCGCTCACTAGTAAAGTACTTCTTTTTCAGGAGCCGGATGGGACAATAAAACAAGTTTTCATTGATTCATTCAATATATCGGTAAAGCTAACACTCGCCAACCTCCTGTGACGTGAATTTTTACCGACCGCCCGATCTTTCGGCGATCCGTTCACGTCATTTTGAAGGGAAAACGTATTAAAACTAAGTCGAGATTTTGACAGATTATGCATATTAGTATAAAACGGTATATACATTAAATACAATAAAATATATTGTTTTAAAGTTTTAAAAATTCTTATTGTTTCACACACACACATTAAAAGTATCTATACCCTGATATCATTTTCGACAGTGTAGATCACAAACTCCTGTCACATGGTGAAAGGAAGCCGGAACACTTTGTGCCAAACATAGGCATCGGTCGATTGCCAAGGAAAGATTCATCCTTCAAAACTATGTTTGGATACTTTCTCGTTTAGTATTTAACCAACATGCGGCCTTATCCAATTCATACTTCACTAGAGCATTAGCCTACACTGGCACATGTGATTAAAAAATTCCATTATCCAGTTTACTAAACTTTCTAATTTATTTGATTTTATAAAAAAAAAATAATAATAATACAGATTGTGTGATAGATGAAACAGATCGTGTTAAAATTAAATAACGACTCTCCGTACTCTAGTAGGTAAAGTATCGGCTTACGAAACTGGAGAGTGCGGGTTCGATTCCCATCGGGGACACTTTTTCAGATGGATTAAAACGATTAAAATAGGTCCCCCTGCTGGGAATTGAACTCCTCAATTCCATAGGTCGATTCTACTGGGGTTCATACTCTCGAATGAATAAATAAAAACATTTATTATCTAATATTTCAGTAGGCTTATGGCCAACTTTGACCAAGGTACAAAAATTGTTTGGAAATAAATAAATATATGAATATTTGAAACTATTATAGACGCGTATGATTCTTTTGAAAATTAAACATTTTCTACTGCGCTTAATGCAATGGAAAAATTGAATTAAGGGCAATAGAAAATGTGTTTAATTTTCAGAAGAATCATACGCGTCTATAATAGTTTCAAATATTCATAACAGATGGTGCGCTGATGCATGGTAAATAAATATATCAAAAATGGCATTTCTTCCTTTGAAAATTCACTAAAACAATTCATTATGGTTTATCGCCCCTGTAAAAACGTAATGTAGTGATAAAGAATTAGCTACAGCACGAGGTATGGAAAATTCAGACAAAAACCCAACCTGCATTTCTTTATTTCGAGTTTTGGCCCTCAATAGTACTGGGCCGGTTTTGATTTCGTAACATCCAACGAGTAGAGTTATGGAATCGAAGTCGCTCCTGTACTGATGAGGGCCTCCTGTACTGACGAAGCCCGAAACCATGGTATACAGATTGTCCTTTTTGTTTAAATTTGCCAAAACTCGTGCTGTGGTTCTTTTTCTATTTTCACCATTACGCTTTGTCCTGGGATGATAAACTAAAGTGCATTGTTTCAGTGTGTTTTTAAAGAGAGAAGTTACACTTTTGTTATATGAATACCATCCACAACTTTGTTATATATTATATTCATATCTACATGTTATAAAGCGATTATAACCGACCTTTCCTAAAATACCCTAGGAAGGTGCATACACCGTGGCTATATTTGTTCCTCATTGTTCCTAATTGAAGCCAACTACTTGTCAACAGCTGGGCGACATGAGGAAGCACCTTCTATTCAGGACAGCTCTCTTGTCCTCCATCAGAGTATTCTAAGCTTGAGGGACATTCCTCTAGGTCAACTTTATCCTTTTACAGCCAATCACGCGCTTCTGCGTGATCTTTAGTGTTCACTCAGGTGCCTAACACACCATTGCGCGAGATCTAAGCCTCAGCATTCATCCTCTTGGTTCAATCTGCGGTTTAACTGTATTTGATCGTAGTGCAGATGGTAAACGTTGCTACCTAGTCCTAAATATAATTTTGACTTATTTGCATGTAAAGTATTTATTTATTGTATGAAACTGTTTTAAACAATAGACCTGCATCTAGGGTAAATTAACTCTTATAGTGCCAGTACCAACACATGGTAGAAAGTATTGTATCGAAAGGATTAAGTCGACAAATAGTTTGACTTAGGAACAAATTTATTGTGAATTCAAAATATGTACCATATGATGTAATTGCGCGTTATCTCAATTTGAAAATATAAACTATTCATAAGGCGAAAGTTTCATTGACACAATAAAATAATTTTCTACTGCCCTTACTGCGGTGATAAAATACTGGGAGAGCCAAGTTCAGTGGTGAACCCTCCCAGCGGTTTCGCCAGGCTCTTCTAATATTTATTATTGCAGTGAGGGCAGTAGAACATGATGTTATCTCTTATTTTAAAAGTTACACTAGAGCGCTTTATGAAAATTTTTATATATACCCATTTTTATGTCTTGGAATCATAAAATATAGCATGGCTATAGTCAACTCACCTAGAAAAACATATGAAGTTTTACCATATGTAATGTGTCAATTAAATTGGACTAACTCGGTAAAAAGATATGGGTTTCCCAATATTTCTTATTTTACAATGGAGTGGGTGGCGTGAGAGGGTTTTAAAATTATATTAGTCGATGATTATATTATCTATGAGTAGGCTTGGAAGACAGCAAACTACATGGATGGACAGAGAGTTGGCTACGCAGATAGTTCGCCTTGCATATACATAAGAGGAAATAATTTAAACAAAGAGCGTAGTAATCATTGTAGTAGTCAAATAAATGTTATCTAGTAACGTACTATTAAAATAATTAAGAACTTATTGAAGAACTACATCCTCCAAGAGGCAAATAACTTTCTATTGTCCTAACTACAGGGGAAAATATTGGCTCATCTGTCGTGAATCTTCCAAGAATATTAGCTAGTTCAATCTAACATAGACGTCTCTAATATAAAATCTATAATGTATTTTGAGCACAAAAATTAAACTTACTGGCCGGTATTCATAGTTCTTAAAAATAAGACACACTTCAGTCATAACAGGTTTTATTATCGGCGTTTCGACGCAAAAATATTTTTGTCGACACGTCTATAAAATGAAACGTTTCTGCCTGAATTGTCTCTTATTTAAATAATTATAATATCGTATCAGGGCCGTGGAAAAAAGCCTTTTGGCTTGAAAGCTCGCTCATTTATAGTTATCGTATTTTAAAGCCCTCATCATTGTGCTGTATTTACTACTGATGAGCCAGACCCTCTCTTTATTATTTCATCGTAATAAGGAGAGTAGGAAATTGATTTATTTGTGAAGGTTCGTACAAAATAGCTTCAATTTTCGAACATGCAGATGGCGTGCTAATTCCTTACTCCTAACAGAGAGATGAGGCTTGCCCTTAGACAATATTGAAGGAGGTCAGAATTGTCCCATTCTTCTATCAGACTCCAAGTGAATCTTGACCCTGAGGTGTGGAAATGTCCGCCATTGCAGATGTCTCAGCTTTGTTTGCTAACTGACGCCGACCTATGACCAGACTATAGTTGGCAATGGAAGGTGTGTCGACAGTTTAACATAGGGACACTCTTTCCTCTAAATCTGCCTTCCAACTTGTATCTCTATTTCTGACCCACCTTTCTTTATCAACAACCATTATTCTACAATGGTTGTTAGGTATTTTATGGCGTAATTTACGATATATTTGAGCAGCTTTGTTTCCCCTAATTGATAGAGCTACTTTAGATAAAGAGACTGGTGCTAGGATGAAAATAATGTTCAAATATATATTGATTAACTAGTAGAATGGGAATATTGTGAGGGTAAAGTTTCTTATATCTGCAAATAGAATGGATGATATTTTGAGTGACCCTGCTTCTCAAACTGTTAGAAGACCTTCTTCTGTTCATCAAAAAGTTGAAGGGTTGTAAAGCTTCAAATCTCGTGCTTTTTTGTAAATAAAATAAACCATTCACCTCGTGATATATTTATTCCACTAATGAAATAATGGGTGATTATTTATAGAGAATTTAAAAATCAACAACCGTAAATCAGGCTATCTTGTGTATGCACCAACAAGGCGTGGGTATTGATACCTCATGTGTGATGCACAGATCGTTTTTACTCAGCAAGTTTTGAATGAGTGTCACACACAACATGAAATACCTTTCTTGTGAATCTTGTGATTATTTAAATCCGAGGAATATTAAATATTTTCTCTCTTAGTTTCAACCAAGTTGGAGCATTGAAATAAAATAACTTAAACAGCTTTAATTTAAATTTTCTTTTTCTCCCTCTTCAAATCGCAAAAACAATGTAGAACACATCAGTTTATAACATTTCTCAAAGTTACACGCAGCCATTTTAAGCTACTATCCACTATGGGGGTTCCCGACATATGTGAACCCGGCATAGAAAACGAATCAATAAAATTTTCATATAACGAAGATATGTATTGTTTTCAGTCAATTTGGAACAGAGACTTGCAGTCTATTTGATGAGGTATTTGCACAACATTTTGTCTATTCATTTTCTTATTTGATTTGTAATATATAAGGAAACAACGTGTAGATAAGAGAGCTTCAGGTGAAACAGAGCATGGTCATACTTTCCAACGGTAGTATGTAAATAAAAGTGAGATAAAGGACTGTGGAGCCCTTTGTTTTTAATATTCATAAGTTTTTCTGACGGCGATAAACATAACTTTTATTTTAGAGCAAGTCTATGTTATTCAACAATACCCACTACCCTTCTGTTGATAAATTAAGTTCTTGTCCGAATGGTCTGATCAAAGTTTCAACAGAAAAATCCCGGTACATCACTCGAAATGTCGCAGGGTGTGTAAAATATATTATTTCGTATACTGTTGTTAAAACCAGTATTATACATAAATATATAGGTGTTGGCCTTAAATAGACCGGTGAACATGTCTTGAAAATGTTCCAGGAATTTATAGAAATATGTCTTCATAGCAGGAATTCGATCATTTATAGAATGAACGCTACTTTACGAATTCTTTCTACCCTACATAAGGTTAGCATAAAATTCTGGCAATTATTTAAAAGAAACTTGGTGTAGTATTATGTGCCTTTTCTCTCGATATATTTGATATATGACCAAAATAATCCGGGAGAAGATATTCCAGCAGGTAATCAGATGACGTCAGCTCTACGGTGATATGCAAATAAGCCGAACATCTGGCCCAGGACCAGGGAAGTTGCATAACTCGCCGGTCAGCTGGTAACAGAACAACCTACACCGTACTCCAAATACTTTGGGCGGATTTAAGTTTTTAATGCAAGGCTTCACAACGGTGTACACACTGATCCATGTCGTGAGACTATGTTCCGCGCCATTTACATGAGAAATACAGACACTAGAAATATCCAATATTATATATAATTCGATATAACTTTCTCTATATTATATATATGGTAATGAAGTTAAGAAATGTAAATATGTTCATTTTTACAATTCCTATATTTCAAGTATATGATTCAAATGTTTCCCTGAGGTTTGAGATAAAAGGAAGTAGCTAGGAAAAGGTTGCGGAGCTCTTCACCCACTCCATAGAATTACCAACACCGAGGTGTTACAACAAATAGTAATGATAGGTGAAATTGTAAAAAAAAAATTGTCAAGAGAAATGTTCACTAACTCGGTTGTGTGCTAAGAAATTACAATTAATACCAGTAGCTATTGCACTTAACAAGGGAAAATAGAAGGTATGATCTGGAAGACGAAAAACTACATGGAAG